AAATGTTGAATAGCCAATTATCTGAGATAGTATGAGGATTCCTGCCCTGGGCTAAGGGATCAGACTAGATCTCCCAGGTCCCTTCCAACCCTATGACTCAAAAAGTGCCCTGAGATGACTCTCCTATAGTTGAACTGGAGGTGGGTGTAGGAACAAGATAGGAGTCTCTGTTGTCACCAATAGAGCTTTAGAAGCAGAATTTTCAATATCTTGCATCTTGTCTTGGCCTGTCCATTCCAAAGCAAATGGGACAGATTCTCTGTTGTCACCGATAGAGCTTTAGAAGCAGAATTTTCAATATCTTGCATCTTGTCTTGGCCTGTCCATTCCAAAGCAAATGGGACAGATTCTCTGTTGTCACCGATAGAGCTTTAGAAGCAGAATTTTCAATATCTTGCATCTTGTCTTGGCCTGTCCATTCCAAAGCAAATGGGACAGATCTATATTTATATCAGAAGGAGATGATGATTTGGCAATAATTGCAGACAGTGGTGTTAGTTGTACAAGGGGCAACTGCCCAGCTGGCCACTGGTGAGAAGGTTTGGACTTTGGCTCAATATATGATGGTCCTGCTGCAATGGCAAAGTCCCAAGCTGGGGGAGTATGTTGAGGAAAACAATATGATGGTTATGAAAGTGACTTTATACAAATGACTACCAAATTCAAAGTTGTTCCTGGGAGCTAAAGCTGTAGCCCACACGTAAAGAGCATAATACCTGTATGCACTGAGGAAGAATAGGATTCTGCTGATCCTGGTCTTGTGATTTAGACTGAAGGCACAAGCACTACAATGATTGTGAAAAAGAGTATCAGGATCATATGGTACCTCCGATAATGGAGATACTAATAATTAGTCCTGGAAACAACTGAGGTGAGTCCTTAAGTCTTTGAAAGAAAGAAGGATGGAAGATGCTTAGTGCCAGAGTGGATTAATCCTATTACAGTGTTTTCAATTCAGAAATAAGCTGTAAGGTGTCCAAAGGCAGGACAATTGCCACAATTGCAACAAATTTTGTTTTATGTCAGAATGAACTGCATACATGATTTCAGTTTCGACCTAAAATAAATGATACAATATAGAAGTTTGTTTATTTTGGGTGCAGAACTGGCACTCACATCGGTCTTTCTTACTGACATCCCCACAGTTAAGGACTTCACTCATTGGCATATCCAAGTTGACTTTTCCATACCTTTCATCAGTTTTTATTTCACACACACAGGCTCAGGAATCAGAAGTCACATATAGAAGCTGTGTTTCTGAAGCCAACTATCGCCATCTGGAACTGAAAAAAGTCCGGGAGAGAATTATCTCTCACATTCGCAAGCTAATGTTTCAAGGAGATGAAATGCTGAGGAGGGTAAGTTGTGATTTACAGAATAGCCTGTTTAAGTCAATTTAATGCACTCATAACTGAGACTGAATGAATTTCTAAACTCTTACTACTGAAAGGTAAGTAGGAAAATATTGTAGTAGATTCTGCAATTTCAAAAATAATTCCAAATTCTATAAGTTAAGGAAATTTATTCATTTTCTATGTGTTGCTTGGTTTCTTCAGGTCTCTTTGAGGATGTTCAAGCTACAGCAGGCCCAAGCAGAACGAATCCCTGTAGGGTACCAGAACCTGACTGAATTCTGCAAGCCCTACAGCATTGGTGAAAAATATCTGGAATTTATTCAAAAGCTGCCAAAAAAAGAGCTTCCCATTGAGGTGTACAAGTTTGAAGAATTTGTACCATCTGGGCAGAAGTAAGGCAGCATACATTCTTTTTCTTCTGTCCTCTGACCCACCCATCCATGCACCTTCCCATCTCCTTATACTCAGCAGTCCTAATCACAATTTCTTATTACTCGGCCCTGAAGATTTATGGCAATGGTAAAACGTGTGTCCCTCCAGATGTTGATGAATTATACTGTAGCTCTCAGCAGTCCTAACCACCATAGCCAGTTGTGAAGAATGCTGGAAATTGCAAGTTCAACAACACCCGAGAGCTACAGGCTCCCCATCCCTAATGCCAACAGTTTTAGCATATGAAATATGTACGTTGCAGGATTCCTTTGAGGGTAAAGGACTATCAGCATGAAAGCATGTAGACTAAGTGTTTTCAGCAGACAGGAGACAAAAAACCTTTCCAAGATCTCTTAGTAATAGCAAATACATTTCTTGTACTTAACCTTTTTAGACCCAGACCCTCCATCAACATAGGTACTTTGGAAGAAGCTTCTTAAAGTCTTTATCATATATTTGTGTGGTGGCAATGTCATAATGGTGTGCCACTCCCTCTATCCCCAACACCCTTACACTACGCTGGATCAACCCAATTCTCCAGTTGAAGACTGAAGTGCTAATGTAAAGTTTCCATCTAGATATCAGCTTAATTCTTAAAATAACTGGGTCACAAAGACACTGCACCATTTCCAGCAGGGGGCAGAGGAGACATTTTAAATAATACCTAGTCACAGGAACTGTGAACAGGATGCTGTGGAAGGAGAGAGAGGGAGAGGGAGAGAGAGAGAGCAGGTCCTGATGTTACAAATCTCTCCCCCAACCCCCACAAAAAAGGAATGAAAGGGAATAGCTAGCAAATCTTTCCCTCCACAAGGAAGTCCCTAGAATGACCTATAGAGAGTAAGAAGAGTCCAAATCAGTCCTGGTTCCATTTTAAACTGTCCCTCCTGTTTCTGAAGAGTGCTGGCCTTCAGAAATCCTTCCCCTTAGCCCATTGTTCCAAATATTCTTTTTCTTAACTGAGGTTTTTGAAAGACCCGCAGCACTACAGAGTATACGTTTGCTTTTTTCTGAGCAAATGATCCATTTGAAGGATTAAATGTCTCTCCTCTCTGGGAGACCATCATATGCTTATACTTGTGATGGAATGGTGTTATGAAGGCCACGCTCAGGGAGATAAGCGTTTCCTTAGCCCTCAACAGGAGCATGGGAAGTTTA